CTTCAATAATCATGGGTTCTTTTCATTATTGATTTAAATGATTGAATTATGACTCTTATGCATGACTTGATTAAATACTATGATTTTATGATGATTTCCCCCATGAAACCATGTAATCCCCATGTTTTCAAGTTATGAATCATATGATGTGGAATTTTGATTGTAAAGGAAGAATTTTATGAAATTAAGCATGTATTGCTAGCTTTATATGAATTTATGATGAAATTCATATCTGACCCTTGTTTTCTAAGTGCTGATGATTGAAAGTGGGTTTTGACCATGAAAGGTAAATTATGGATTTATGCATCTTCTTATGAAATCTATACAAATATTTTAAGGATGCTTTGAGAGTAAAGTATCAATGATGATGATCATGATATTTTTTTTGGTTTTCCACCCGGTGTCCGGAGTCCATATTGGAGCTCCGGCTAAATCTGAAACGCGCACTGCAAGGCTTATTCAGGGGTGGCGTTCCTAACAGGATTTTCTCCATACCTAGGGCTCAAACCCGAGACCTCTAGTTAAGGGTGAAACACTCTCACCAGTGCACCACAACCCATGTTGGTGATCATGATGTGTTATTGAAAGGATTTTCTCATAACACATAAGAGTAAGATGTGAAAGGTTTTCTCACAAAATAAGGATTCTAAGGTTGAAAGGTTTTATCACCTAATTGAATCTAAGATTAAAACCTATCCTAATGAACTTAGCTTGGATTGGTTATTGAAAGATACATTACCATGGAGGATGACCTAGCTTGGATTGGCAAGAGGACGTGCCTTTCCATGGATAATTAGAATGTGAAGAAATGACTACTCCATGGGATTAATGCTTAGCACTGAGAGGCTATTAAGATAAAAGCTCTCCCGTGAATAAAGGTCGTATTTCTAGAAGCAATCTCATTATCCCTTACCTATGTGCCCCTATAGGATGATTGTTTAGATAGACATTAGCTAGTAGATCCACTTTAGCTTAGATTTATAGTCCTTACATTGGCAAGTAGGACAACCCTTTTCGGTGTTAGAGACACCAGGGGATCATGTTATAGCTCACATGTTTCTCTTTGTCGGTTAAGGTTAATTCCCCACATTAATAATGAACTAAGGTTACTTTAATAAGTATCTAATATGTGTTCAAAGGCTTTAAAGATGATTATCTTGCATTGACCATGGCTTTATGACTTATGTTTTCTAACTCTCTTATATTATGTTTTAGTTTGGTCAGTTGTATGTCATGAAATAAAATGTCTCTTTTAGCATGATTTAAATGTTTTATGCATAGCTATCATACTTGGTACATTGTTTTGTACTTACACATACTATTGCCTACATTTCCCCAAATCTAGGGTTCGGCAATCAGGTTTCTCAGTTTCGTGTCTAGTGGTTAAGTTCGAGATTTTCGAGCTTTGGTGAGTCCTCATGCTTCGAAGATGGGGTTTTATTATTTCACTTTCTTTCATGTATTTCTCTTTTGGACATGATGTATGGGCTATGCCCAATTTCATTTGATTGTATTAGATGGCTATATTGAGACAAGTGTTTTAGACTTCCATTTTTATTTAATAAAAACTATTGGACTTGGACTATAGTTTTACTATTATTGTTCGATTACTTATGTTATGAAAGCTAAGTGGCTTGTATGGGGTCCTTCGGGGTTCTATACACCATGTTACATCTAGGGGGTACCCCTGGGTCGTGACAAACTTGGTATCAGAGCACAAGGTTTAGAATGGTCCTAGGATGTCTCATAAGCCACGTCGAGTAGAGTCTTGTTCATGAGTATGGAGCGTGCAACATTTATGAATGAGAGGCTACAAGATGATTAGGAAACTTCACTTCTTTCATTACTCTAAAGTCGTGCGATAGAGTTTAACCCTATAAGGTCTCTTTCATAATCCTTATCAGATGCTCTATAGGATATGGCTACTGAAGAGCTTATGCTAGAAGGAATGTGAGGGAGAATACGGAACAAGAAGCTCATCCCCAACATCCTCAAGTTCTGGTCAATCCGTTGGCCGAGTACTTGACTAATGTGGAGTTTAGGGCTGCTTTTCAAGTGTCTGCTTAAGCCGTGTAACACCCCGAATCCTAAAAAGGGCATTATAGAAAAATTTCAAAACTTCTAGGTGCCATCCATGAGGGCCAACCACGGCCGGGGGTTGAACCACGGACCGTAGGTGGGTTCGTGGAAGGGCTACAAAAAAGTTACCAAGGCCATAAGCCACGGCTGGACCCACGAACCATCGATGGGCCCATGCCTCCAAGTTAGAGAACCATAGGTCAGACCAAAACTCTCTGAACTTACTAACGAGTCAGCAGGACGGACCGTTTCTCATTCCACGGTCCATCAGTATCGAGTCGTGGGTGGTGAGGCAGCAATTAATGTCAGGGGTAGCTAGGTCTTTTGCTATATAATTGGTTCCTATACTAAGTCGTTTTACCCTTTGCGAGGACCCCTATATAAGTATTTTCAACCCCCAAATTAGCCCATTCACTTCATTCTTCCAAAATAACAAAAGAAGATTAATTCTCCTCTCCAAAATATTTCTCTCTAGAAACTTGAAGAAGAAGAAGGATTCAACCTAGGGTTTAAAGTCAACTCTCAATTACTCCATTGAAGGCTAGTATTTGGATTCAAGGTATGATAGTTTTCATCCATGAATTCCTTCCATTCATGGAGTTCCCAAATTCCACTATTTCTAAAGGTAGAATTCCCCAATTGAGTAATGGTTTTCTTCAATTATCATGGGTTCTTTTCATTATTAATTAAAATGATTGAATTATGATCTCTTATGCATGAATTGATGAAATACTATGATTTTATGATGATTTCTCCATGAACCCATGCAATCCCCATGTTTTCAAGTTTTGAATTATATGATGTGGGATTTTGAGTATAAAGTAAAAGTTTTATGAAATTAAGCATGTAATGCAAGCTTTACATGAATTTATGATGAAATCCATATGTAACCTATGTTTTCTAAATGTTGATGATTGAAAGTGGGTTTTGAACATCAAGAACTGAATTATAGACTTATGTATTTTCTTATGGAATCTATGCAAATGTTTTAATGGTGCTTTGAGAGTAAAGTACCAATGATAATGATGTGTTATTGAAAGGAATTTCTCATGTACACATAAGAGTAAGATGTGAAAGGTTTTCTCACATAGAAAGGATTTTTAGGTTGAATGGCTTTCTCACCTAATTGAATCAAAGAGTAAGATCTATCCTAATGAAACTAGCTTGGATTGGTTATCCTAGGATGCCTTTCCATGAATAATATGGTCAAGTAAGAAATGACTATTTCGTGAGATTTATGCTTAGCACCGAGAGGATATTGAGATGGAAGTTTCCCGTTAGTAAAGGTCGGGTTTCTAGAAGCAATCTCATTATCCCTTACCTATGTGCCCCCATAGGATGATTGTCTTCGATAGACATTAACTAGTGGACCACTTAAGCTAGAAGTTCATGGTTCTACCTTGGTAAGTAGGACAACCCTTTTTGGTGTGGGAGACACTGGGGGATCATGCTATAGTTCACATAGTCTCTATGTCGGTTAAGGCTAATCCTCCACATTAATAATAAACCAAGGTTACTTCAAGAAGTATCGCACATGAGTTCAAAGGTTTTAAAGATGATGTTAGATTGCATTGACCATGATTTTATGACTTATGTTTTCAAACACTTTTATATCATGTTTTAGCTTGGTCAATTTCATGTCATGCAATGAAATGTCCCTTTTAGCATGATTCAAATGTTTTATGCATAGCTATCATACTTGGTATATTATTTTGTACTAACACATACTCTTGCCTATATTTCCCCAAATGTATGGTCCGACAGTCAAGGTCATCAATTTTGTGGCTAGAGGTTGACTTGAGATATTTCGAGCTTTGGTGAGTCCTCATGCTTCGAGGATGGATTTTCATTATTGTAGTTACTTTTCTTGTATTTCACTTTTGGACATGATGTATAGGCTAGGTGCAATTTCATTCTGTTGTATTAGATGGCTATGATGAGACAAATGTATTAGACTTCCGCTTTGCCTTTATAAAATGTTTTGGACTTTGACTATTGTTATACTCTTATTGTTCTATTTCTTATGTTATGAGAACTGAGTGGCTTGTATGGGGTCCTTCGAGTTTCTATATGCCATTTTACATCTAGGGGTACCCCAGGGTCGTGACAAACTTGGTATCAGAGCACAATGTTTAGAATGGTCCTAGGATATCTCATAAACCACGTCTAGTAGAGTCTTGTTCATAAGTGTGAAGCGCGCCATATTTATGAATGAGAGGCTAAAAGATGATTAGGAAACTCCACTTCTTTCATTACTCTTAAGTCGTGTGATAGAGTTTAACTCTATGAGGTCTCTCTCCTAATCCTTATCATATGCTCTACAGGATATGGCTACACGAAAAGCTTATGCTAGAAGGAATGTGAAGGAGAATGAGGAACAAGAAGCACCTCCCCAAGCTCCTCAAGTTCCAGTCGATCCTTTGGCCGAGCAAATGTCTAATGCGGAGTTTAGGGCTGTTTTTCAAATGTTGGCTCAAGTCATGACGGCCAAAGCCAATAGAGAGGTTGCGGTTCACGTGAACCCAACTGTGGGCATGGCGGCTTCTAGAGTGAGGGACTTCACTAGGATGAATCATTCGGAGTTTCATGGTTCTAAAGTTGAGGAAGATCCTCAAGAGTTTATTGATGAGATTTATAAGGTTTTGATGATCATGGGAGTTATGTCGGTGGAAAAGGCAGAGTTGGCCACTTATTAACTAAAAAGTGTGGCTCAAATTTGGTACAACCAATGGAAGGAAAGGAGACTGGAAGATGCGGGTCCTCTTGATTGAGAGAAGTTTAAAGCCGATTTTCTTGATATGTTCTTTCCCCTTGACACGAGGGAGGCTAAGGTGCTTGAATTCATTAACCTTCGACAAGGGAGTATGAGTGTGAGAGAATACGCTCCAAAGTTCACAAAATTATCTAAGTATGCTACATCAATGGTTGCCGATTCAAGGGCAGGGATGAGTAAGTTCATTTCGAGTGTGTCCGAAATGGTGGTTAAAGAGTGCCGAACCACCATGCTCATTAATGACATGGACATCTCTCGTCTCATGGGGCATGCACAACAAATTGAGAAGGAGAAACTTAAGGAAAAGTCTAGGGAGTTAAAGAGGGCTAAGACCGGAGTTGGAAATTTCTCTCATGCAAGGTCTGATATACATGGTCGTCGTAGATTTCGGTAAAGGTTTTTCGGTCAAGATTCCTCAAATGCTACTCTTAAATTCAACAAATATAAGGTGTCTAACCCTAAGACTCAAATAGGTAATGGTAGTGGATATTTTTTGCCTAGATCTAGTTGTACTAAGTGTGGAATGAAGAATGAGAGTAAGTGCCTAGCCGGCATAGATGGTTGCTTTGGTAGTGGTAAGAGTGGTCACAAAATGAGGGATTGCCCGATGCTTATGGCTAAAGGAAGAGAGGGCAAGAAAGCTTCTCCTAGTGGTGTGGGTGCCAATGCTCCTAAGCAAAACCGATTCTATGCACTTCAGACTCGTGATGAAAAAGAAGGTTTTCCCAATGTGGTTACTGGTATTTTGAAAGTTTTCCAACTTGATGTTTATGCTTTACTTGATCCCGGTGCTACCTTGTCTTTTGTGACAACATGTGTGGCTATGAGGTTTGATGTTCTTCCAAATGTGTTGTTAGAACCTTTTTCTGTCTCTACTCTTGTTGGTCATTCTATTGTGGCTAAGAGGGTCTATAGAAAGTGTCTCGTTTCCTTGACCCATAGAGTTACTCTTGTTGACTTGGTAGAGCTTGATATGTTAGATTTTGATGTTATCTTGGGAATGGATTGGCTGCACTCATGTTATGCTTCTATTAATTGTAGAACTCGTGCAGTCAAGTTTCAGTTTCCAAATGATTCTATCCTAGAGTGGAAAGGGGGAAATTATATGCCTAAGGGTCAATTTGTCTCTTATATTAAAGCTAGAAAGATGATTTCAAAAGGTTGCATTTACCATTTAGTTAGGGTGAGGGATGTAGATTTTGAAACCCCTACTCTTGAGTCGGTTCCCATTGTTAATGAGTTTTCAGAAGTGTTCCCAGATGACTTACCCGGTATTTCTGCAGGAAATAGACTTCGGTATTGATCTTCTCCCAGATACGCAACCTATTTCTATTCCTCCTTATCGTATGGCTCCGGTAGAACTTAAGGAGTTGAAAGAACAATTGAAAGATTTGTTGGATAAGGGTTTCATCCGACCGAGTATCTCTACATGGGGTGCTCCAGTTTTGTTTGTTAGAAAGAAAGATGGTTCTCTTCGTATGTGTATTGACTATCGTTAATTGAATAAGGTGACCATGAAGAATCCTCTCCCAAGGATAGATGATTTATTTGACCAACTTCAAAGAGCATGTTATTTCTCTAAGATTCACCTTCGGTCGGATTATCACCAATTGAGGGTGAAAGATGATGACATTCTGAGGATGGCTTTTCAAACTCGGTATGGTCATTATGAGTTTTTGGTAATGACGTTTGGGTTGACTAATGCTCTAAGGTTTTTATGGATTTGATGAATAGGGTGTTTAGACAAAACTTTGACATGTTTGTGATTACGTTCATTGATGATATTTTGATCTATTCGAGAAGTGAGAATGAGCATATTGATCATTTGAGGAATGTGTTGCAAGTTCTTAAGGACCAACAACTTTTCGCAAAGTTTAGGAAATGCGAATTTTGGTGAAGGCCTGTAACTTTCCTTGGTCATATTGTTTCAAGTAAAGGTATTGAGGTAGATCCTAAGAAGGCAAATGCGGTCAAGAGTTGTCCTAGACCTCAAACTTCTTCGGATATTAGAAGTTTCTTGGGTTTAGCCGGTTATTATAGAAGGTTTGTTGAGGGTTTCTCTTCAATTGCCTCTCTTTTGATGGCTTTGACTAAAAAAAGGTGAAGTTCATATTGTCTGAATTAAAAGAGTTTTCAAGAGTTGAAAGATAGACTTACTTCCGCTCTGGTGTTGATCTTACCAGAAGGGATGGATAGTTTTGTGGTTTATTGTGACGCCTCGAGAATTAGGCTAGGATGTGTGCTTATGCAAAACGGGAAAGTTATTGCCTATACATCAAGGCAACTTAAAATTCATGAGAAGAATTATCATACACATGACCTCGAACTAGCAGCTATTGTTTTTGCCTTAAAGATTTGGAGGCACTATTTGTATGGAGTTCATGTAGATGTGTTTACCGACCACAAGAGTTTGCAATATGTGTTTAATCAAAAAAATCTAAATCTTCGCCAAAGAAGGTGACTTGAGTTATTGAAAGATTATGACATGAGTGTTCTTTATCACCCCGGTAAAGCTAATGTGGTAGCGGATGCTCTTAGTCAGTTGTTTATGGGAAGTGTGGCCCATATTGAAGAAGAAAAGAAAGAGTTGGTTCGAGATGTACATAGATTTTCCCGATTATGTGTTCAATTAGTGGACTCCACCAAGGGTGGTGTTATAGTTCACAATGGTTTCGAGTCGTCTTTTGTGGCGGATGTGAAAGCCAAGCAATGTATTGATCCAATTTTGGTTGAATTGAAAAAAGCGGTGCTTAAGAAATCCGTTGAGGCTTTCTCCCAATGGGAGATAGTGTACTTAGATATCAAGGTCGTTTATGTGTTTCGAATGTTGATGACTTAAGGAAACAGATCTTTTCAGAAGCCCATAGTTCACGGTATTCCAATCACCCGGGAGCCACAAAAATGTATCGTGATTTACGGGAGGTCTATTGGTGGAATGCGATAAAGAAGGATATTGCGGGATTTGTGGCTAAGTGTTCAAATTGCCAAGAAGTGAAAGTTGAGCATCAGAAACCGGGAGGTTTGTCCCAAGATATTAGTATTCCTACTAGGAAGTGGGAAAATTTGAACATGGACTTTATTGTTGGTTTGCCTCGCACCCGATAGCAACATGACTCGATTTGGGTGATAGTAGATCGGATGACGAAATTGGATAATTTCCTTCCCATCAAGGTTTCTTATTCGGCGGAGGACTATGCCAAGATGTACTTGAGAGAAATGGTAAAGTTGCATGGAGTACCTTGTCCATTATTTTCGATCGTGGTACCCAATTCACTTCTGAGTTTTGGAAGTCATTCCAAAAGGGTTAGTACGGACTTTCATCCCCAAATCGACGGGCAATGGGAGCTTACTATCCAAACTTTGGAAGATATGTTAAGGCTTGTGTGATTAATTTTAAGGGTAATTGGGATGACCATTTCCCATTGATTGAATTTGCCTATAATAATAGATATCACTTCAGTATTGATATGGCTCCATTTGAGGCCTTATATGGTCAGAGGTGTAGATGTTCTATAGGTTGGTTTGAGGTGGGTGGAGTTGCCCTAATAGGTCCCGAATTGGTACAAAAGGTCATATAGAAAGTTTGGCATATAAGAGAAAGGCTGAAAATGGCTCAAAGTCGGCAAAAATCATATGCCGATGTGAGTAGAAGGAATGTAGAGTTTGATATTCACAATTGGGTTTACTTGAAAATCTCACCCATGAAGGGTGTAATGAGGTTTGGAAAAAAGGGGAAACTTAGTCCCCGATATGTAGGCCCATATCAAATTTTGAGGCGTGTTAGTAAGGTTGCTTATGAGTTAGATTTGCCAAATGGGTTGGCATCGATGCATCCAGTTTTCCAAGTCTCTATGCTTAAGAAGTGTGTTTGAGATCCAACATCCATAGTTTCCGTAGATGGTTTGGGAGTTAAGGAGAATCTTTCTTATGAGGAAGTTTCGGTAGAGATTCTAGACCGACAAGTCAAGAAGTTGAGAAATAAGGAAATAGCTTCCGTGAAAGTATTGTGGAGGAATCATTTAGTTGAGGGTGCTACTTGGGAGGATGAGGCCGATATGATGTCCTGATATCCTCATATCTTTCCTTCTACTCCTACTCTAGCTTGAGGTAATGAGTTCATCTTGGTTTGTGTTCTGTTATAGGAGTCATGTGTTTTATGTGTTTCCATGATTTCCTTATGTTATGCATGTTCATGAAAACTTGTGTTTTGAAAGAAAATGAGTTTACATGATGGTTTTCCTTATGTTTTTGTGCATTGAGTATGAGTTGCCTATAGACTTCATGAGATGAATTGATGAACATGCTTTAGCTATGATTTTTGAGAACGAATTGCATATGGGATCCATGAGATTGTGTAGAGCATGCTTTTAGCTTGAAGAAGGTAGTTTCTCCTTGAACATGAGTAATTTTTGAAAATTCATGCATATTAGGTTGCTAGATGTAGTTCATACTTCCTCATGATGCATTGAGTATGTTTAGCTTGGAGTTGATGTTTCCTCCTTGATTTGTGCATTGTATGCATGATGGGCTGTTAGACTTAGTTTCACCCCTCTTATGATGTTTTGAGAACGTCCTAGATTGGAGTCGATAGTTCCTCCTTGGTAATATGCATTTAGATGAAGTTGCATTGTAGGTTGGGTTGTTAGTTCATCTCCTATTATTTTAGTACTAACTTGAATCTCATTCGAGGACGAATGGTCCCGGGGGAGATATTGTAACACCCTGAATCAGAAAGAGGCCACCATAGAAAAAATTTAGAACTTCTAGGTGCCATTCAGAGGATCAACCACGGCCGTGAGTTAAACCATGGGACGTACGTGGGTCCATGGAAGGGCCACCAAAAAGTTGCCAAGGTCATAAACCATGGCTGGACCCACGAACTGTAGATGGTCCCATGCCTCGTGGCTAGGGAATCTTAGGTTAGGACAAAACTCTCTAAACTTACTGACGAGTGTGCAGAATGGACCATTGGTTAGTCCACGGTCCGTCAATCTCGAGTTATGGCTGGTAAGGCACCAGTTAATGTCAGTGGTAGTTGTATCTTTTCCTAATTAATTGTTTCTTATACTACGTCATTTTACTCTTCACTAAGACCCCTATATAAGTATTTTAAACCCCAAAATTAGCCATTCACTTCATTCTTCCAAAATCACAAAATAAGATCAATTCTCCTCTCCAAAATATTTCTCTCGCTATAAACTTGAAAAAAAGAAGGATTAAACCTAGGATTTCAAGTCAACTCTCAATTCCTCCATTGAAGGCTAGCATTTGGATTCAAGGTATGATAGTTTTCATCCATGAATCCCTTCAATTCATGGAGTTCCCAAATTCCACTATTTCTAAAGGTAGAATTCCCCAATTGAGTAATGGTTTTCTTTAATTATCATGGGTTCTTTTCATTATTGATTTAAATAATTGAATTATGATCTCTTATGCATGAATTGATGAAATACTATGATTTTATGATGATTACCCCATGAACCCATGTAATACCATGTTTTCAAGTTATGAATTATATGATGTGGGATTTTAAGTATAAAGAAAGAGTTTTATAGAATTAAGCATATAATGCAAGCTTTACATGAATTTTTGATGAAATTCATATCTAACCTATGTTTTCTAAATGTAGATGATTGAAATTGGGTTTTGAACCTCAAGATGTGAATTATGGACTTATGCATTTTCTTATGGAATCTATGCAAATGTTTTAAGGGTGCTTTGAGAGTAAAGTATCAATGATCATGATGTGCTATTGAAAGGATTTTCTCATGTACACATAAGAGTAAGATGTGAAAGGTTTTCTCACATAGAAAGGATTTTTAGGTTGAAAGGTTTTCTCACCTAATTGAAACAAAGAGTAAGAGATATCCTAATGAAACTAGCTTGGATTGGTTATCCTAGAATTTTTTTCCATGAATAATAAGGTCAAATGAGAAATGGCTATTCAATGGGATTTATGCTTAGCACTAAAAGGATATTGAGATGGAAGTTCTCCCGTTAGTAGAGGTCGGGTTTTTAGAAGAAACCTCATTATCCTTTACCTATGTGCCCCCATAGAATAATTGTCTTAGATAGACATTAGCTAGTGGATCCACTTAAGCTAGAAGTTCATGGTTTTACCTTCACAAGTAGGACAACCTTTTTCAGTATGGGAGACACCGGGGATCATGTTATAGCTCACATGGTCTCTATGTCGGTTACGGATAATCCCCCACATTAATAATAAACTAAGGTTACTTAAAGAAGTATCGCACATGAGTTCAAAGGTTTTAAGGATGATGTTTGCTTGCATTGACCATGATTTTATGACTTTGTTTTCTAACACTTTTATATTTAGCTTGATCAATTGCAATTCATGAAATTAAATGTCTTTTTTAGCATGATTTAAATGTTTTATGCTTAGCTATCATACTTGGTACATTGTTTTGTAGTAACGCATACTCTTGCCTACATTTCCCCAAATGTAGGATCTGACAGTCAGGGTCATCAGTTTCGTGGCTAGAGGTTGACTTGAGATATTCTGAGCTTTAGTGAGTCCTCATCCTTCGAGGATGGATTTTCATTGTTGTAGTTTCTTTTCTTGTATTTCACTTTTGTACATGATGTATGGGCTAGGCCCAATTTCATTTTGTTGTATTAGATGGCTATGATGAGACAAGTGTATTAGACTTCTGCTTTGCCTCTATAAAATGTTTTGTACTTGGACTATTGTTTTACTCTTATTGTTTTATTTCTTATGTTATGAGAACTGAGTGGCTTTTACGGGGTCTTTCGGGGTTCTAAATGTCATGTTACATCTAGGGGATACCCCTAGGTCGTGACAAGCCATGACGGTTCAAGCCAATAGGGAGGTTGTGGTTCTCGTGAACCCAAATGTAGGAACGACGACATGTAAAGGGAGAGAGTTCACTAGGATGAATCCTCCAAAGCTCTATGGTTCTAAGATTGAGGAAGATTCTCAAGAGTTCATTGATAAGGTCTATAAGGTTTTTATGATCATGGGAGTGACGCCGGTGAAAAAGGCAGAGTTGGCCGCTTATCAATTAAAAGGTGTGGCACAAATTTGGTTCAACCAATGGAAGAAAGGGAGACCGAAAGATGCAGGTCCTTCCCCCTTGAGATGAGGAAAGCCAAGGTGCTTGAGTTTATCAACCTTCGACAGGAAAGTATATGTGTGAGGGAATATGCTCTAAATTTCACACAATTTTCTAAGTATGTTCCATCAATGGTTGCCAATTCAAGGGGAAAGATGAGTAAGTTCGTTTCGAGTGTGTCCGAAATGGTGGTTAAAAGAGTGTCGAACCGCCATGCTCATTAATGGCATATACTCTCTCGTCTCATAGTTTATGCACAACAAATTGAGGAGGAGAAACTTAAGGAATAGTATAGAGAGGTAAAAAGGGCTAAGACCGGTGATGGTAATTTCTCTCATGCAAGGTCCGATGGACATGGTCGTTCTATATTTCAACAAAAGTTTTCTAGTCATTGTTCTTCCAATTCTCCTCCTAAGATCAATAAAGATAGGGTGTCTAACCCTAGACCTCGATGAGGTAATAGTAGTGGATCTTCATTGCCCATGTCTACTTGTACTAGGTGTGGAAGAAAGCACGACGATAAGTGCATAGCCAGCACCGATGGTTGCTTTGGTTGTGGTAAAAGTGGTCATAAAACGAGGGATTGCCCAATGCTTGTGACTAAAGGAAAAGAGGGCAAGCAAGCTCCTCCTAGTGGTTCGGGTCCCAATGCTCCTAAGCAAAACCGATTCTATGCACTTCAAACTCATGGTGAACAAGAGGGTTCTCCCGATGTGGTTACCGGTATGTTGAAAGTTTTCCAACTTGATGTTTAAGTTTTACTTGATCCCGTTGCTACCTTATATTTTGTGACACCATATGTGGCTATGAGGTTTGATGTTCTTCTAGATGTGTTGTTAGAACCTTTTTCTGTCTCTACTCATGTTGGTGATTCTATTATGGCTAAGAGGGTCTATAGAAACTGTCAAATTTCCTTGTCCCATAGAGTTACTCTTGTATACTTTGTAGAGCTTGATATGTTAGATTTTGATGTTATCTTGGGAATGGATTGGCTGCACTCATGTTATGCTTCTATCGATTGTAGAACTCATGTAGTCAAGTTTCAGTTCCCGAATGAGCATGTCCTAGAGTGGAAAGGGAGAAATTTTATGCCTAAGGGCCAGTTTGTCTCCTATCTTAAAGCTAGAAAGATGGCTTCTAAGGGTTGCATTTACCATTTAGTTAGGGTGAGGGATGTAGATTCTGACACCCCTACTCTCGAGTCGATCCCCATCGTTAATGTGTTTCTGGAAGTGTTCCCAGATGATTTACCTAGTATTTCTCCTGAAAGGAAAATAGACTTCGGTATTAACCTTCTCTGAGATACGTAACCTATCTCTATTCCTCCTTACCGAATGGCTCCGGCAAAACTTAAGGAGTTGAAAGAACAATTGAAAGACTTGTTGGATAAGGGTTTCATTCGACCGAGTATCTCTCCATAGGGTGCTCCAGTTTTGTTTGTTAGAAAGAAAGATGTTTCTCTTCGTATGTGTATTGACTATTATTAGTTGAACAAGGTAACCATTAAGAATAAGTATCCCCTTCCAAGGATAGATGATTTATTTGACCAACTTCAAGGAGTGAGAATGAGTATATTGATCATTTGAGGATCGTGTTGTAAATTCTTAAGGACCAACAACTCCTTGCAAAGTTTAGCAAGTGTGAGTTTTGGTTAATATCCATAGCTTTTCTTGGTCATATTATTTCAAGTAAGGGTGTTGAGGTAGATCCTAAGAAGACGGATGCAGTCATGAGTTGGCCTAGACCTCTAACTCCTTTGGATATTAGAAGTTTCTTGGGTTTAGCCGGTTACTATAGAAGGTTTGTTGAAGGAATCTCTTTGATTGCCTCTCCATTGATGACTTTGACTCAAAATAAAGTTAAGTTCATATGGTCCGCAACATGTGAGAAAAGTTTCCAAGAGTTGAAGGATAGACTTACTTCTGCTCTGGTGTTGACATTACCGGAAGGGACCGATGGCTTTGTTGTTTATTATGATGCCTCAAGAATTAGGTTAGGATGTGTGCTTATGCAAAATGGGAAAGTTATTGCCTATGCCTCAAGTAAACTTAAGATTCATCAGAATAATTATCCTACACATGACATTGAACAAGCGGCGGTAGTTCTTGCTTTAAAAGTTTAGAGGCATTATTTGTATGGAGTTCATGTAGATGTGTTTAGCGACCATAAGAGTTTGCAATATGTGTTTAGTTAGAAAGATCTAAATCTTCGCCAAAGAAGGTGGCTTGAGTTATTGAAAGATTATGATATAAGTGTTCTCTATCACCCCGGAAAGGCAAATGTGGTGGCGGATGCTCATAGTCTGTTATATATGGGTAGTGTTGCTCATATTGAAAAAGAAAAGAAAGAGTTGGTTTGAGATGTTCATATATTGGCCTGGTTAGGTGTTCAATTAGTGGACTCCACTAAGGGTGGTGTTATGGTTAACAATGGTTCTGAATCGTCTTTTGTGGCAGATGTGAAAGCCAAGCAAGGTCTTGATCCAATTTTGGTAGGATTGAAAGAAGCGGTGCTTAAGAAATCCATTGAGGCTTTCTGCCAAGGGAGAGATGGTGTGCTTAGATATCAAGGTCATTTATGTGTTCCAAATGTTGATGACTTGAGGGAACAGATCTTGTCAGAAGCCCATAGTTCCCAGTATTCCATTCACCCGGGAGCCACAAAAATGTACTGTGATTTGCAGGAGGCCTATTGGTGGAATAGGATGAAGAAGGATATTGCAGGATTTGTGGTTGTGTCCTAATTGTCAACAAGTGAAGGTTGAGCATCAGAAATCAGGAGGTTTGTCCCAAGATATTAGCATTCCTACTTGGAAGTGCGAAGATTTGAATATGGACTTTATTGTTTGTTTGTCTCGCACCCGGCGACAACATGACTCTGTTTGGGTTATAGTAGATCGGATGACGAAATCGGCTCATTTATTTCCGATCAAGGTTTCCTATTCTGCGGAGGACTATGCCAAGTTGTACTTAAGAGAAATGGTAAAGTTTCATGGAGTGCCTTTGTCCATTATTTCCGATCGTGGTACCCAATTCACTTCTTAGTTTTGGAAATCTTTCCAAAATGGTCTTAGTACTCGTGTTAAGCTTAGTATGACCTTTCATCCCTGAACTGATGGGCAAGCGGAGCGTACTATCCAATCTTTGGAAGATATGTTAAGAGATTGTGTGATTGATTTTAAGGGTAATTGGGATGACCATTTGCCATTGATTGAGTTTGCTTATAACAATAGATATCTCTCGAGTATTGATATGGTTCCATTTGAGTCCTTGTATGGTAGGAGATGTAGATCTCCTATAGGTTGGTTTGAGATGGGTAAAGTTTCCCTAATAGGTCCTGAGTTGATAAAAGAGGCCATAGAAAATGTTTGACTTATAAGAGAAAGGTTGCAAACGACTCAAAATCGGAAAAAGTCATATACTAATGTGAGAAGAAGGGATCTTGAGTTTGATATTCATGATTGGGTTTACTTTAAAGTCTCACCCAAGAAGGGTGTAATGAGGTTTGGTAAGAAAGGGAAGCTTAGTCCTTGCTATGTAGGCATGTATCAGATTTTGAGACGTGTTGGTAAGGTTGCTTATGAGATAGATTTGTCAAATGAGTTGGCATTGGTGCATCAAATTTTCCATGTCTCAATGTTGAAGAAATATGTTGGTGATTCGACATCCATGTTTCCTTAGATTGTTAGGGAGTTAAAGAGAATCTTTCTTATGAGAAAGTTCCGATTGAGATTTTAGACAAGCAAGTCCAGAAGTTGAGAAATAAAGAAATAGCTTTCGTGAAAGTGTTGTGGAGGAATCAATTAGTTAAGGGTGCTACTTAGGAGGCCGAGGCCGATATGATGTCTTGATATCCTCATCTCTTTCCTTTTACTCATATTCTAGCTTGAGGTAATGAGTTCCTCATGGTTTGTTCTTTGTTTTGGTGTCATGTGTCTTATGTGTTTCCATGATTTGCTTACTATGCATGATTTATGAAACACTTCAAGATTTGAGAAAATGAGTCAATTTGATTGATTTCTACATGTTTATGTGCACATGAGTATGATTTGCATGTAGACTACATGATTTGATGTTATGAGCATGATGTTAGCTTGGAGTGAAGTTTCCTCCTCGGATATATGCATTTGAGTATGATTGTTAGCTTGGAGTTGATGTTTCCTCCTCGGATATGTGCATTGCATGCATGATGGGCTGTTAGACTTAGTTTCACCCTTTTTATGATGTTTTGATAGCGTCCTAGCTTGGAGTCGATAGTTCCTCCTTAGTTGTATTCATTGCATTGTAAGTTGGGTTGTTATATCCTCTCCTACTCTTTTAGTACCAGCTTGAATCTCATTCGAGGACGAATGATCCCAAGGGGGAGATATTGTAACACTTCTTATTCGGAAAAGGCCAAATAGCAGTTT